CAAAATTACCCAAGACAGGCCCAATGCTTTTCGTTTGTGTTATATTTTGTTGAAATTGGTTTTTCTTTTTTGTTTGGAACTGGGTAGTAAACGTCAACTATGTGTTTGTCAAAACCAACAAAATTCGTAGGCCCGAACTATGCTTTTTATTTTGCATCATATTTTTTTTGAAGCTGATTTCTTCCTTTGTGTTTGAATTGGAGCAGTAAATGTCAATTGTTTGTTTCAGAACCAATAAAATTTGTAGATTCGAACAATAAAATTCCACAAATTAGAGCAGCAAGAAGTATCAGTGCTCAAAATTCTATGTTTATATAAACAAATTATCATTTAACAATAAAAACACAGTAAGGCAGCAGTGATGAAAAGGAAAGAAAATTACTTAAGTATCAAAAATGAATGCGCGAGATTCATGTTCCTCATCAATTTGGCTATTTTTATATGCGACCGCTTCTCGAGCCAGTTGATTGCATCATACCCGTGTAAAGCCCTTGATGCTAATGAGGCGCAGCCACAAACTTTTAATGCAGCTATGCCATCCTCACATGAGCAAAGAATAGATCAAGCAGAAAAATATATAAGAAAAAATGGAAAACAGTAAAAAATAACACTAACCAAAACATCATAACTGACTGACCGAGCATCTGCATAAACCCGTTTTAATAGAAACTAAGGTACACAGTTGTGGAAACAAACTAATTCTTTTGTCTGACAATCTATTTTTGATATTATCAGTGTTTTCTTAGCGTCCTTTTTAATCAAAATACGGTGAGTAAAGAGGGCTGCTGGGACAAGCCTACAAAAGTGGCTTGTCCCACCAGTTCCACCACTGATTGACCATTCTAAAAAATTTTTCATTATATGCGCGAAAATTCTCACGCAATTTCAATATACTTTCCGGCGAAATATCAACATGAGCGCGACCCTTCGTGTTTCCGAGACATTTCGCTATTCGTCGGTCCTTTTGTCGGAAACAAAAAAATCCTTTATGCTTATTAAAAACGAACTGATCCGCTTCAAACGATTCCGGAATTCGCAGAAAACTTTCAACTTTTCGCAACTGAAAATCGACGTAAGTGACTGAAAGTGGAAATTTTTAAATATTCAAAAAAATCCTTCAAACTTTCACTAAAGAAGCTTTATCTCTATTAACAGCATGTTATATCTTCCAGTGACGCGTTCGGGAAAGAAAATCGTAAATCTCACAGGCCGTTGCAAGAAAATCTATTCCACTGCTGAGTGATCGGTCATTTGTGGCTGACAGGTTTTCCACATACCTTTTTTGACGGAAATAAAAAGAAAAAAAAATGACCTGTGTTAATGGGTCGATGATAAATTTGTCACCATCCAGG